CATATATAATAAATTGCTAGTAATTCTATTAATCTAAGATACATTCAATTTTCATCTTTGTATCTATCAGTTTCTTCCTGAAACTTCTTCCTACTTATAAATCAGAGCACTAAAGGGAAATAAATACATACGTATCCTAGTGATCTAACACCCATCCCAAGCTAGCCCCATCTTGTGTCACTGCCTAAGTCATGCAAATTACACCAGAACTGCCAGTTGACTAAGATTAATGACACTGCGCCAGCTTCTTTGTTTCTCTCTGCGGCCGTTTAGTGTGAAATACTATCCAAAAACATTATCTATCCTCTATTAATCCCACAAATTTGTTCACACCATGCACATTGTTTAGGGCAATTTACAACAGGAACATACTGAGCACAATTGCATTTAATTACTTGGGTTCTAATTACATTCATTAAAGGCTAATAAAATAAATGAAACAGCTTTAAAAGCTTCTGCAAAACACATGGGTCTTGTCTCCCTCGTGAAGCATACAGTAGATGTTTGATGTGAAATACAGATTTGCTCATATGTGTGTCTATCATATATCTGTAATATACATAAAGACATATATACAGTGCATATTAATATACATAAAACCATATGCATACAGATTTCAAATGAGCCTGAACACTGATATTTACATATATGACTTGCTATAAAGATGCCAAGCACCCCAAACTACTTTGTAATGTGGCATGTAAAGACAGAATATCAGTTTTGAAATTTCAGTCCAATTCTTCTAATTGTTTCCACCTGCACTATAGACATATTTATCCTCTCTCCTCTATATCTGCATTGTAAAGGATGCAAATGACATAAAAAAGGAAAGAAAGAAGAAACATTGTATTTTTGGTCTACATTCTTAAAGATATTTCATTAATGTTCAGTTCTGACACTCACTGAGCCTTTGACTGGTTTCTCTTTAGCAGCCGATGCAGCATATTTAAAAAAACACACAAGCTATTTGTATTAAAACACACGTTCTAAAGCACACTAGGCAGTCTAAGTAAATCCCCCATGGTGGTTAAAAATGCAGCTTTAATAACATCATTTCCTAATTATTACGTGCCTATCCTATTTATGTTGTGCTTAGGAGGCTGTTTGTGGCAAAAAAATGGAATCTAGAACACCATGTTGACCACTATGCCAGCCAGAGTTCAGCGCCCAATGTTCATAAAATATTGTTCAGTATATGCTTATCTTGTTATAACTATTCACTGTCTTTACATTTACTAGAGGATAGCTCTTACAATTCTGTAAAAGAAATAAAGTTCTAGTTGAATATCTTACAAGTCTTGGTCTGTGTGATCATGATGTGTACTCTTAACTGAAAGATGCTATTTGGCAAACTTAGAAATATAATTACTAATTGCAAGTATTCTGCAGTATATTTATAATGACAACCAAATATGCATGGCATCACAATTCCAAAAAACAGGCACTGCACTCATAATCTTGAACTGACTCATCAGAAAACAATTAGCAACTGAAAAGGGAAAAAAAAAATAAATCATAAGCACTGAAATGTAAGGCTTGCCTAGTATGTGTCTCCCTGCAATGAACATTGATCTACAACAGGTAATCCCAAATAAATTGTAAACTTTTAGCTTCTCTTAGCTTCAAGATGTTAGCTGTATAGCTCATCTATCTTTCCCTTAGCCTCTACCTGACTTCTACCTGATTCTGTAAACAAGTTGCACTCTTTAGTAAAGGACTGAAAGATTAATTTTATTTTCCTTTTGGAATGCCATTTATTTATTTATTTATTTCATTTTGGGCACACTTTTAAAGAAGTATGTGGGGATTTATCTATGCAGGCCATTCAACTGAAAGCTCTCAAGTAATTAAAGTTATGGCAACCATTTTAGAAATGTACCTGAAAATGTGTCTAGGTGTACCTCCTAAATCTCATCCTGGGTTTCTTGCTAATGAACTACAATACTTGACCAGCCTTTTTGCAAGCTACAGAAAAGAAGAAATCTTAAAAATATTAATAGCATCCAATCAGATGTATAAATCTTTTATTCATAACTGAATATATCCTTGTGCGGAGGGGAGGGAGTGGTTGAGATGGGAGGGGCATCCCTTCTACCACAGCAAAACTGCTTCATCAGCTCAGCACAGCTGCCACCTGCCCTCCCCTCTGCAGTTCACTGGCTTCCCACTGCAGACAACATTAAAGCGAGGTAGGGAAGGGCTGAAGTCTTTGCCTCACATCTTCATAACCAGGCACTCTACAAACCTCCTCCCTATTAGGAGACTGGAGAGCTCAGAAAATTGGTAATAAGGCAAGAGAGCCCTTCAGTTCTGTGTTTTTTTGGTTCAGATCACAGCTTCCCAGTAGTGACCAAGTACAAGTGCCACCTAGTTGATGGTTTAAATGAAATGGAATGGGTGATCTCAGTTCAATATCTACTGGACAAACATTCATAACACTACATGCCCTGGCAAATAGAATAAAAACTGTCCCACCACACAAAAATTGTTTCCCTTCAGCAGCAGCTAAAAACACCTCAATCCCTGAAACATAAACCAAACTGCTTTAACTATCAGCAGAAGGAAAGCTAGAAGCAGGGTACTGTCAGTAAGGGATTCATAGCAACTTTTTACCTGCATTCATGTAGAATTACTTGAAAATCAACAGAGCATATTTTTCTAGGCTTTTCCTGGGTAATCACAAAAAACACGTGGGTGGAAAATCTAACAGCTTCATGGTTTGGATGGATACCCTAGCCCTGAGAAGGCCTGAATTATTGTGCAGCATTCTTAAATTGCTTCTTGTACTTTATGCAGTATTGCTTGCGCACATATACACAAAATGTTACAATGCCACATTAATTTTTTTCTAAAAACTACCAAATATTAAGACCAAACTCCAACTGCGTAATGTAATGGTGTCAACCAGAGAGGATGAAAACTTTAATCATGTGTTGAAGTACTGATGAAGTAATTCTTTTAGGCAGTGGAATGGATCTAGCTAAATAGGGACTCACTTCTATTCACATTTAACTCCTGTTTACTTCAAGGAGAATCTTTAGAAACAGCCTTCTACTTCCTTGGGGTAAGGCTAGTTTTCATTAAAGTCAATACAATTTTTCCATCGCCTTTACTGGGATTTAATGTATGACTTTACATGCACAAATTATGACACATTCAATCTGCATTAACGCTCACGTAGTTCATTTTATGATGAAATGAAAGATGATTTCTCTGCCTGTATCTGAAAATCAGCACTCTATAGTCAAAGTAAAACAAGCTTTACTTAAAGCCATTATATAGTCACAAAATGTAAATGGTGTTTCTAATACCATGCAATTGAATGGAAAAACCATACAACGTGAATCTATGAAAAGCACCAGAGAAATGACTAAGTACAAACTAAAAGCCAGTGACCTCAATCCTTAGCAGTCCCTTGACCCTTATTACTGCAGCCGTTGGTGTAAGGAAAAATTAAAGATGGCTAGAAATCATCGGGTTAACATACTAGGGCTCAGAAATCTGACCTTGGTTACTTACAGCATATAGCCTCTACTAAAAGTGAGTATATGAGGAGAATTAGAAACAGAGCTAGCAAAGGTCAGCTTGAGTGCAGCTACACTAAGAAAGATGAGGTTGAAATGGCAAAAAATGTGTATCACTTCAAAGTGTTCATCTTTTCTGCTATGGGGAAAAATATCAGAGTAACAGAGAATTTGTTTTTTTCCATCAACCAAAGCGTGGACAAACATGTTAACAATTCTGAATGTTCAGGGCCTTAAAATACAACTTCTGGTTCCTCAGTCACATGGGGACAGACTACTGAGATCTTAGGTGGGCATGTATTTAAAAAAAAAAAAAATCAAACTGTCAATATTGCATTAATTTAAATAAAAAAGTTGCAATGAAAGGATGATGTGGGTGCTAAGGCACATGGTTGACAACCCAGAGCCTCATAAGTTTGAGGCTGTAGCAGAATCCTGTCCAATTCTAACAAATGTGTGAATACTGCTAAATACCTTGTCACACAGACACAGAAAGGAAAGGAAAAGACCAGACTGGTCCAATAGGACAGGACTACATTTCAGCTCAAAAGGGGTCAATGGTTTGTCCTATGCCCAGATGGCATATTGAGCTAACATAAGCATCTGTTGCCAGCAAGTATTGTGACTAACATCATATCCAGGTGCCTTAGACTTCAGCTCAAATGATCATAACCAGTTACAGCTGAGTTAACTGAGTATGGGCATCACAACAAGTCAAGAGCAAAGTTCAAGCTTACACTTCTAGATTTATAGCAAGATACATTAACTATTCTACTACTATTGCACCCCTACTAAGCCTAAGGGTTTCATTAATTTAAATGAGACAGAGCAAAAAACTAGGGCAGATGTTTTCCTTTGCTTCTGTCTGCAACACCTGGGACTTGAATATTTACAATATTTAAAAATACTATAGGAGAGTAGACATTAAAATAAACTCTTATAAACAAATAACTCAATGCTTTCTATGATACTTATCTCTCATACTTAGAGTAAAAAAACTGTGCTAATTTGAAGTATTTATTAGAAAGAGATGATTCTTTAACTATAACCACTGTAGTGAGGTCTATTTCTTTAAACCTAGATTACAAGTTTGCATTAAGGCAAATAGATCAAAGCCTACCTAAAAAAAGAAAGAAAAGAAACAGGTAAAAAAAATTACAATAAGAGAAGCCGCTGAATTCTCACTTTAAGAAAATTAAACACCAGGAGTAATTTGCTGTATTCTAAAAGCTATTTAGTCATACAAAAGTAATAAGCTATTACATGATAATTTTTTTGGAATGCTGAATTAGAAAAATAATCAATCATAATGGGTAATTAATTATTATTTGTAACGGTTTGACACCCTGTCTTCCTCCCCCATTAGCACATGATAATTCTGCTAAAAATGTAACACCGGATGGAGTTGTTATCCTATCAAAATATGAATGAGGAAGTAATAGCTCCCTAGAGAAAAAGAGGAGCCAGCGTGCAGGCTCAGCAGTCTCTACAGTGGAATTCTGGAACCAGCTAAGACTAAGGAGAAATCTGGGATTATTTCATTTCGAGTTTCTCCTATGAATAAAGTCAAATCCTAGATAAAGGATAATGTTTGATCCACCAATTTTTGTAGAAGCATGGAAGCCATCTATTTAATCATGCCATTATAAAATGGGAACAAGATTTCAATTGCGGCCATATTGTAACAATGTAATAATGAACCAAAAACAAGCTCAAGCAGGTCTTTGTATGATTAGGCTGGGCAAAGGGTTCAATAATATGGTGGTATTGTAGGGATAAAAAGGAAAAGAAAAAATTGAGCTATAGACACATGAGATATGACCAAAGGATTCTGAGGAAAAGGAATGAAAGGCATGAACTATGCTTTATCTCAAATATATGTAACAATTTAAAAATGGAGATAGGTGTCTTAGTTTGTAGTGCTTGTAACTACAAAAAGCTAACATGCATACATCCAGGGTATCTGTAATGCTACCAAATGTTAAACAGAAACTTCTTTGTAGTGTTATATTTAGTAATTCTGTGTGTAACATCTGGACATGTTGCGTCACAGAGGGGCTCTTCGTCCTCAAACATCTTACAGTGCTCTGCTCTCTCCTAGATGTCTTCCAAAGGGGAGAGGGAGAGCAGCTGGTTCCACGACAGCCAGCAGAGAGCAGAACTGCAACTGTTCTTAGTAGCAGCTGATACTAGGGGTGTGCAAAATGGGCTGTATTCGATTCAGATTCAGATTAGGCCCAAATTGGGCACAGTGATTCAATTCGTTGATTTGGATCACTGTCCCGACTCAATTCAAACGAATCCGAATCTGAAGATTTGATGCTGATTCAGGGAATCAGCAATTCAGCCACAGACACAGCTTTAAATGTTTTCTCCACATACCTTGAGGTACCAGGCATGGCTCATGAACACTGAGATGCTGGGGCATATGGAGCATCCCACAGGAGCATGGGGGGGTCCCCCATGTACTTGACAGCAAACTTGGAAGTGGACCAGGAGTACTTCTGGTCCACTTCCAGGTCCACCACTGAGTGTGCTGGAGGGCCCCCCCCCCCCCGTACCCGCCCGGCTCAGCTGCGGGGGGACCCCAGGAGCCCCCCCCCCCATACCCAGGAGGCACCAGTCACTGAGCTGGGGGAAGTGTGGTGGGGCCCCCCAGCATGCTCCCCAGTGAACCTGAAAGAGGACCTGAAGTGCTTCTGGTCCGCTTCTGGATCTGCTGCTGAGCACACTGAGGAGGCCCCCACATGCCCGTGGGATGCTCCATGCGCCTCAGCATCGCAGTATTCATGAGCTGCCTGGTACCTTGAGGTATATAGAAAATCTTGATTTGGCAAGATTAAAGGGTCTCCTGATTCAATTTGGATTCTGAGATTCAGCCACTGAATCGGGCTGAATCTCCACCAAACTGAATCAGGGACCAAAGCTTGGCACAGCCCTAGCTGACACCATGAAACTGCTGCCCCAGGCGAGCAGCAATGTTGTTGCCACCACAGTGACAATGACCAGTGCTGCTGCCACCACAGCTTTAAGCTCCATCTCAGTAATAAAATTGGAGCAATGTTGAAAGATGAACAGGGCACAGCAGTGCCACCATCTCTTTAAGCAGAAGCATAGCACCCTGAAAACACTTTGTACCCACCAGAGCCTGCTAGACCCCCTACTCCTCTCTAGCAATGTGCTGCAATTGGGTCTCTTTGCCCATCTCCTGCCCCTAAGTGCCACTTGCATTGAAGGAATGGGGACAGCATGGTCAAAATGATACTGCAGGCAAAGAGAGGGAGAGGCAGAGGGTAGAGGGTCCATGCTAGAATGGCACGGTAGGGCTGCAGGGAGTCAGGTTGGGGGTGGGAGGTAGCATGGTGCTGGTGCAGTTGGGATATCTGAGTGTGGGGTGAGTAGACCCCTCTGGTAGGGGTATCAGGGTATAAACAACTGCTGTGGTCAATGAGGGCTAGCAACCTGAGAAACTGTGGGGGTGTTTTATTGAAAGTAAAAATACATGCCAGGAAAAAACTTTCTCTGTCAATTAAAAAAATGTGCAGACTGTCAAAAATAATGTCTTAGGCTGGCAACCCTGCAGCCAGAAAGCTCTATATGTGTGCACACTCCTATAGAACTTTTTTTTGGTAGCACTACAAGAGTGCTGAGACCATATGTCCATGGACTCATAAAATATAAGTAGGGACCCAATGAAATCGCTATTTTGTAGATTATATGGAAAACACAAAATCCAGCATTGCCTGCAAAAGCAAGCAATATCCTTTTTATCTGTGGGGGTGAAAAAAGAAAACACAATGAAAATAAAATGCTGGCTCCCCATATGGAACTAGTAGCCCTCATGTTGTTGCGGCCCAACCGCACAGCCTGTTGGGGAGAAAGAGGGTAGAGGGGGCTGCTGGCACACAGGGGAGCCCAAGATGGCTGCCACCCTTGCCCCTCACCGCTGACCATCTGAGAGGGCTGTCTGTCATGTGACCCTGCCCCTTTCCACCAACTGGCAGCAAGAGGCAGGTTCACATGACAGGCTTCTGTTGCAGTCAATCAGCGTCAAGAGGCCAGATGATGAACAGACCTTACAGCCAATCAGCAGTGAAGGGCAGGACCCCTGGGCCCTTTGGACAATCAGAGGCATGGTGGGGGGAGGAACTGCGCTATGATCTGCCTTTAAAAATGGTAGCCGGCTCTACGATTTACCCACAAAATCAGCTGGCCACTTCCTTGAGTTGGGTAGACCTCTAAATATAAGACTAGAAGGATCCAATACCTTGCTGTCAGAAGCAACTGGATCCTATAAACATTTTAATAAATTTTATTTTTTTTACCCCCATTATACTTATGAAAAGGCTGTTCATTGCTCTGGAAAGGATTTCTGCAAAGGATTTCATTGCTCTGATATTTAGATACTTACTTTTAATTTCTAGACTAAATTAATTGATTTCCAGTTTATATTCAAATGTCCCAGTTTTGTCCTTCAGTTCAGAGTTCTTCTCCTTTCCTGATGTTTATTAGGGCTGTGTGAAGCTTCAGCAGCCGATTTGATTTGGAGGACATATGGCTCGATTCAGAAACCAAATATCTGAATCCTAATCAAATTGGGAAACCAGTTAAAAAGTCTGAATCAAATTGGAAGCCTCCAAATTGATTCAGAAAAGAAAACTGCAGAAAAACACAGAATCTGCATTTTTCCACAACCAACTGAAAGCATGGCAGTGTTCCACAGCAAGTGGTGCCATTTCTGCTTTTATTTTTGCTACGGTTTTTGTGTCTTAGCCAATAAAGCAGCAGGGGTGGGGGAAGGAGGGGCATAAACTGCACCAAAAATAAAAGAGAGCAAAAAAGGTGCCGCTCTTTGCAGGATACCAACATACTTTCAGATCACGGAAAATCACAGATTTTTGTGTTTTTAGATGGAGATTTTCCGCTTTTTTTATGTGGAAAACTAGGAACCTATTTTTGTTCAATCTCTGCTCCATTACTGTATACTAGCTCAACTTCTTTCCTAGTTCTCCTTTTATTAATATGGATTAAAAAATGCTGCTTAATTCCCTTGGCAAGATCCAACTGGCTTGCCTTTTGGCAATTCTTATATTATTCCCCTGCCTCCTAACTTCTAGGAGATACCTTCTTTGCTGATCAGTTGCTTTTTCTATTTGCTATAAACCTTCTGCTTAGTCTTAATATGGCTTTTTGAGTAAAATAGTCATCTAGTTAGTCTGGATCCTCTTAACAATTTTTTCCTTCCTGGTGGGGTGAGTTTCACGTAGTTTTATACCTTTGACTATACAATGGTATAGTTTTATATCTTTCTTCCATATTAAAGTCCTTGAGCTTCTTAGTGCAGCTTTCTTCACTACATAGTTTCCTTAATTTTCTCACTGTTTACGCTTTTGAAACTGAAAGCTTTAATTACAAGACCTATTTTCTTTTCAAACTTCTTTTAAATCTTGAATCAACTCCTGGTCATTTGATCCAAGTTTATTTATTCCTTTAATCAGCTGTTCTTTAATGTCTTCATTACTTAATAATAACATACACTCTTGTTGGTTTAATAGCTAGTGAAGAAATCCATATCTATTGCATCCAGGAATAACTGGGTCCTATCATTTTTTAAATCTATATTTGGAAAGTAAAAGTCTCCTATTATTACACAATTTCTGGAATTATTTATTTCTTCACTACTATGGGGGAAAAGCCATATCCCACCACAGACTACCATAATGGAGCCACATGTGCTATTTGGAATTTACCATCCTTCCTTGGAGGAGATTTAAGGTTACACTTTATTTTTTCAAGTCTAAAACATTTTGCTGGAATAAGGAGTCTTCATTTGATCTTCTCTTTTATAACAACATTTTCCTTTTCAGGATGCAGAATAAACATGTACACTTTGATTTTAGATGGCACAAGGTAGTTATCCCTCAGAATCAGATATAAAGAGGAAATTAAATTAATTCTGTGCTAAATATTGCTTAAAGTCAAGTCAGTCCTAAGGCCACTGCAGCTACTGGGGCACATTAAATATCATCTCAATATTGTACTAAATATCGCCTCATACATGATCAGTGGGTGAAGAATAGAAAACAGAGAACATGCTTCCACTGTGCTGTATTCAAACAAGGAAATGGGGAACTGTATATTTTTAAGGGAAACCTTCCTTTCCTTTCCTCAGAATAAAGACTTAAGAATTTGCAAATAAAGTCAACCAACTCTGAGCTGTTAAAAGAACAAAAAGGAATCTAATTACAAAGATGCTTTATATATAGTAGTTTTTCATAACTGAGAGACATATAATGAAAGAGACATTATAAACTGAAACTCAACATGAGATATATAACATCTGAATAACATTTAAATGACAAATATGATCAAAAAGTTATTTTCAATAGAATAAATTGTACCAACATATTTTATTAAAACAGCTTCATTTTCTTTTCTTTGTCTTGTTGGTAGAACATGAAACACAGAAAGGCTAACTGAAATTTACAAAAGCAAAATGATTTAACAGTTAAAATTGTTACTTAATTTTACAAGGTGCTTGTCAAGACAGTAGAAATTCAGTATATGAAAATATGGTTTTTTACTTGAAAAAGAAGTACTATTTGCAAAGGTTCTGTGTAATCTTATAATCAGAAAAAACCTGGAAACAGGTCTATACAAGGGAAGGTATCTTAGAGGTTTGGCAACTGAAGCTAATAAACATGTTGTTAGCTGCATTGTGATCGGTCTGGAGGCAGTGGGGACATTTAACATCATCTTCCCCACTACCACCAGAATTGGGAAGACAAATCTTTCTCTCATAGCAAAGAAAGGATTAGGGATAGGGAACATGGCTGGATCCATGATTTACTAACAGGGAGGTGCAGAACACCACCCCTCAGACTATGGAGGTATGGGGGTGAGGTGTGGCTGAAGCCCCCAGATCAGCAAGGGACACTGGGAACTGGGCAAGAGCAGGTACATGAAGGGAGTGGGGGACAAAAAGGCTGGCATGAACCAGGCACATGAAATGAGAGACACCTGTCCACACCACTCCCCACACAGATGTCTCTCCTTGGCTAGAAGGATGAACCTGTGCTCCACCACTGCTGCTGTCCCTCCCTGTACAGCCACTCCCCAAGGTTCTCTTCCCATGCTGATGTCAGCCAGGGACCATGGTTCATAGATTCATAGATGCTAGGGTCGGAAGAGACCTCAACAGATCATTGAGTCCAACCCCCTGCCTAGGTAGGAAAAAGTGCTGGGGTCAGATGACCCCAGCCAGATGCCTATCCAGCCTTCTCTTAAAGACCCCCAAGGTCCCTTGGAAGCCCACACCACCTCCCTTGGAAGCCCATTCCAAATTTTGGCTATCCTTATCATGAAGAAGTTTTTCCTGATATCTAGCCTAAACTGCTCTCTGTCAGTTTGTGACCATTGTTCCTTGTTGCCCCAAGAGGTGCCCTGGTGAACAGAGCATCTCTTATACCTTGATGCACCCTCCCTAATGAATTTGTAGGTGGCCACAAGATCACCTCTCAGCCTTCTCTTGCAGAGGCTGAAGAGGTCCAGGTCCCTCAGTACCTCCTCACAGGGCTTGTCCTGTAAGCCCCTAACTATACAAGTGGCCTCCTATAGACACTCTCAAGTCTATCAACATCCTTCTTGAAGTAAGGAACCTAAACCTGGATACAATACTCCAACTGGAGTCTGACCAATGCCAAATAGAAGGGAAGTATTGGTTCTAATTGTCATGTATCTGCTGATGCATGATAAAGTGCAGTTAGCTTTGCTGATGATTTCATCACACTGATGACTCATGTTCATCCTGAAGTCCACTATGACTCCGAGATCCCATTCTGCTTCTGTGCTACTGAGAGTGTCACTTCTCAGCCAGTAGACGTGCTGGATATTTTTGTGCCCTGGGTGCAGCACTCTGTACTTGTCCTTGTTGTACTGCATCCTATTGTGTACTGCTCACTTCTCTAACCTGTCCAGGTCTGCCTGCAATCGTTCCCTACCCTCCGGAGTGTGCACTTCACCCCACTCTTTAGTATCATCTGCAAATTTGGACAGAGCACACTTCACTCCCACATCCAAGTCACTGATGAAGATATTAAAGAGTACAGGTCCAAGGACCAAACTCTGCAGGACCCCACTACCCACATTCTTCCAGGTCGATACCAACCTGTCTACTACCACTCTCTGGGTGTGACCACTAAGCCAATTTGCCACCCACTGGACCACATAAACATCTGTCACAGCTTCTTAATTTATTGCTGATAATGGGTTGAGATACCATATCAAAGGTCTTGCTAAAATTCAAGAAAAACAACATCCACCTCTACTCCTGTATCTAAGTGTTTTGTGACCCTGTCATAAAATGAAACGATTGGTCAGGCATGATCTACCTGCTACGAATCCATGCTGGTTTCCCTGATGCATTATTTTTCCCACTGGACTCCCACAAATATGATCCCTCATAATCTTTTCAAAGACCTTTCCAAGGATGGAGGTGAGACTGACTGGTCTATAATTACTCCTTCCTCCCCTTCTTGAAAATAGGGACCACACTGGCCCTTTTCCAGTCCTCCAGGACTTGACCCGAGCACCACAAGTGCTTGAACAGCCATGCCAGTGGTTCTGCTATGACACCGGCCAATTCCTTCAGTATTCTCAGATGCAGCTCATTTGGGTCTGCTGACTTGAACACATCCAGTCCATCCAAGTGACTCTGCACTAAGTCAGCATCAACAGTTGGTGGTACACATCGACAGTTGGAGGGCTGGTGTCCCGCTGATGCCTAAAAGCCCATTAGGAGACTTATCTTGACCCCTGTTCAGGAACACTGAGGCAAAAAACTCATTGAATAGCTAAGCCTTGTTCCCCGTCTGTCATTAAGTGCTCCTTCTTGTTTAGTAGGGGTCCTATGCTGCCCTGTACCTTCCTTTTACTCCCTACATACCTAAAAAAAATACATTTTGTTGTCTTTGTGTTGCCAGCCTCAGCTCTGTAGTTCCTTTGGCTTTTCTAACTGCCTCCCTGCAAGTGCAGGCCAAGTAGGTATACTTCTTCTTGGTAGCTTCTCCCTGCTTCTACTGCCTATATGCCTTATTTTTTGCCCTTAGGCTCCCCTGGAGCTCCCTGTTTAGCCAAGGAAGTATTTTGGCTCCTTTCCCCCTTTACCCTCATACTGGAATTGTCTCCATCTGCGCCTAAAGGATTGCATCCTTTAGGAATGACCACCCTTCCTGGACTCCCATCTCGCCAGTGTGTCATTGACTACATTCCTAAGCACACTGAAGTTAACCATCCTAAAGTCAAGCACTTCCACCCTACTAGTTATCTTGATCACCCTATACCGTATGGTGAATTTGATTGATTGATGGTCACTATCCCCAAGGGGACCACAAAGCTGCAGCTCCCCTACCAGGTCTTCTCCTGTAGCCAACACGAAGTCCAGTAAGGCATTCCCCCCAGTGGGACCATATACCTCCTGCATTAGGTAGGTAAGAACCTACATGAACGGTTGGATTCCCACCAGGTTTCCATTAGCCCCACTAAATCAAAGTTATTACCTGGAAGCAGGAGTGCAAGTTCTTCCTGCTTGTTACCCATACTCCTAGCATTAGTATAGAGGCACTTGAACCCTCCGTATGGTGTCTTTTGTGTCCCCCCATTCTGATGCCCAAAGGGCCCCTTGGCACTTACCTGGGGTGTACTGCTGCATGTCTCACAATTTGTAGGTTCCAGATGCTCTCCATCTCCTGCCTCCCCATCCCTAGTGATGGAGCACAGGTTCCTCCTTCCAGAGCATGCTGGGGGCCAGCAAGACATCAACAGGAAGGGGCGGGCAGGGAGCAGAAGCTAGAAGGAGGAACCTGTACATTACTGATGCTATCCCCAGCCAAGCCTATCACCCTGAACTGCAGGCCATGGCTGGAGAAGGACAGGAATGACTATAAGACTCCCCCGAGCCTGCATGAGCCAGGAACAGTAGTGGAAGCAGTGGAAGGGGAAGAGGTGTATTCACACTGCTGCACTCCCCCTGAATCCACACCAGATAGGAAACAGACTTCTGTTTTGCATTTGCTGATAAGTCATCGTTTGGAGGCTATTTTTTCTTGTCTCTCCTGCCTCCTGTATGGAATGGCTGCAGCTTCCATCCAGGGAGCTTGGGCAGTCTTGAGGATATAGAACAAGCTTTACCCTCATACCCATGCTATTGGCACATGGGTGAAGTCCACGGTAGAATAGACCTTCCAGGTAGCTTGGGGGTGTTTCTCCATTGATTAAGAGCTGTTTAATAAAGTCACAACCTCCACACTTAATCATATTGTGGCATATATGTGTCTCTTTTTCCATGTTCACATAATGTGTACAGTGAGGATATGAGAATGAAGAGCAAATTAGATTATACTGATTTAGATGGTTCTGAACTATAATACAGCTATGATGAAATGCTTTCACTATTAAACCAGAAGGCTTGCATCAACGAAACAAAAAAGCAGATAATGTGTATCCTTCATGGTCTTTTTTGATTTGTATAAAGGCTGAGAAATATGAGAACACAGCAGTGAAAACAATAAATATTTACATTGCCCCCTGACAAATGGTTACTCCACCTCCTCTATGTAACACAGCAACTTGCAAATTGTTTAATTAAAAAGCAAATTAAATCAAACATTAGATGTTGCATGTTCTTAATAGCATTGTCACCTACAAAAAAACAAGTACTACTTTAGTCTTTAGAAATTACCTTAAACATCAAAGAACTCCCTCTATTCTAAAATATAGTATTTTAGGATCATTATTCCTTAATACACTAATACTTTTATATGGTGCAAAGAATTACTCAATACAGAAAAAGCTGTGCTATCCAGCACTTTATTAACTGGCATGCTCTATTAACCGGCATGTTGGTCGATGCAGCAAAAACAAAACTGGAAGTCCCACCACATGGCACTTCTGGTTTTGCCGAGTTCTACAGCCCGGTGCAAAGCAGCCTGTGTGGGGCCCCCCTCCCTGTCCTCCAGCACACATTGATATGGGAATAGTAAACTTTTAATTAAAATTCCCTCCTTGCTACTCATTATTTATGTTCGGGCCCCCTCCCCTGTCCCCAACACACTGACGCACCGGACGTGGCAGGAAGGGCAGCGGCCCGAATTGCCTCTCAGATAACCGGCAATTTTGATTAACCAGCACTCCACATTCCCCCTGGATGCCAGATAACACAGCTTTTCCTGTACTACCTTTTCTCTTGAGCTAGCTTATGTATGTTCCTTATATGTTAATATATGGCTTTGCTGACAATGTAGAAATCCATTAATCTAAAATATAATGTAGAATACCTGTGATGTACTACAAATACTAATAGATAAGATTTCCCAATTCTAAACTTCACTTCATTCTTATAAATGTAGTAAATGAAACAGTAGAAGAGGACGAGATCTCATTTTGGATAAGACTCCAGTTCTTGTTAAATGTTATTACTTCAGAGTTGGTTATATATCATCATTGATATAACAATAACAGATGTCTTATTTGCGGATTCCTTTTCTACCTACTTTTCAGTAATGATTTTAGTATTTGTGAAATATTACAAAAAATTACAAAAGGATTTACAAGAAGCACCTGCAGCATTTATCTAGAAGTCAAATATAATACTGTTTTTCCAAGCTCATCAACTAACACAACTTAATTGTGATTCACAAGACCCATATTCTCTTTTACTTTCTTGGTCTGTGAAATTAATTCACTGCTCTTTTCAGAAAAAAAGCACTACAGTTGTGTGAGATGTCTAGTGCCGATGGTCCAATAGTCCTGTAAACACCTGCACCCTCAGGAATGTTACATATTTTATCCAGTGCACCAAATGCCCTGATGGAAAATATGTAGGAGAAACCAAACAGTAACTGCGCATCAGAATAAACGCACACCAAAAATCTATCAAAGAGAATACCCAACTACCTGTGGGTGCCCACTTCTCACAAGACAATCCACTCCCTCTCTGATCTCTTAGTTCTAATCCTCGAAGGGAACTTACAAAACACCTTTTGGAGACAAGCCTACGAACTTCACTTCATAAATCTACTAGATACAAAAAATCATGGACTCAATATAGACATTGGATTTATGACACATTACAACCGGCCTGACATCTGATTCAACAGGTACCTGCCTGATCTGACTTCTTACATTCTTTTTCCCCCACCTTTTCTCCCCTCCTCCCTTACTTTTCTGCCTTTTGTCTTCCTGATTTCCAACCATTTCCTCTCTCTTTTACCTTGTACTATTATCACTGTAGTGTTCCCCTTTGGCCTTTTCCTCCCCTGCTTTCTTCCCCCACTCTTCCCTGTTTTACCTTTTGGTTTTTCTAATTTCTAAATATTTATATTTTCACTGACATCCTGTCACACTTTCTGCATCCCTCATTCCTGTTTTCCTGTTCTTACTAATTCCTTTTTCACTGACAGCTTCTGTCTACCTTGTGTTCTATCACTGCTGTTTCCCTTTGGTGTTTTTTCCCCTGCCTACTTCCCTCTCCCTTAACTGCTTTACCTTTTGTCTTTTTAATTTCTACCTATTTACATTTTCACTGACATCCTGTTACACTTCTGGCTTCTCTCATTCCTTGGAGTCTCAGACCAGCAGAGACTCCCTATGCCTGAAGAAGGGTGACTGCACCCAAAAGCTTGCCTAAAACTTTTTTTCCAGCTACTCAGTTGGTCTAATAAAAGATATCACTCAAAGAACCTTGCCTGCCTGTAAACTCTATACTAGGGCTGTGAGAAGCTTCAGTAGCCAATTCAATTAGGAGGAGATTCAGCCCGATTTGGCGACCAAATCTACGAATCTGAATAGAATTGGGAGACCCATTAAAAGGTCTGAATCGAATCAGAAGCTTCCAAATTGATTCAGAGAGATTCAGAAGGCTTGCAGCAAACAGAAACTGATAAGAGGGAGAGGGATGGGGTGATCTTCCATATATGGAGAAGGCTGAGAGGAGGAGAAAGACTGCTTTGATATTGATATCTGTAGCTGGCCAATGACTGTGATCTTTCTCTGAGTTCCCTTTCTCTGCCTTAACACACACAAGTGATACAAGTTTTGCTTTCAACAGTTTGAGGTGCACTCTTGGA